ATACTTAATCGGTTTGCCATCGCTTTGACAAGACTCTTGAATCCACTTATTCAGTACAAAACATGTAACCATAAAACGCAATATATATACAGAAGTAGAAAAACTTTCATACAAAAAAAGAATGGCATACACATACTTCTGTGTCTCTCTTTCTGAACGTTTAACAATGAATCGTTAGTGGTTCCTGTGATATTGAGTATGCAACAATGTGTTTATCGTGGTGTCGTTGTATTTTTTTTTTCTCGGGTTTTTCCATTGTTGACGCCTCGTTTGGCACATACGATGGAGTGACGAAGGCTAGTCGATGAAATCAACTGCGAAAAACTGCATGAACAAGAATTCATGACGATCAAAACGAATTATTTGTAATGGCTGGCGCTCTTCATAAGATGTGAACTGCTTTTTGGCGCATATTTCATTTGGATGGTTACTGGATGGCTGCTGCTGCTGTTGTTGTTTTTTTTCTCCGCTTCGTTCTTTTGATATTTTGTATTGTTTGTGCCATTGTCAACGTTGTAAATCGCCCACTTCTCCCAAACCCCTCCGAGCCAGTTGGTGTTCATATTGTGTTTATCGTGATTTTGTGATTGATTCACTTTGTCTGTTTTTCATTTTCTCTAAGCATACTCAAACATTCTTCGTTTATTATTGTCTTCGTCATTAATTTTTTCTTCGTCCTCCTTCTTCTGCTCGTTCATTTTCTCTCGCTGTGTTTTTGCTTCCACTTCTTGCTCCCTCGTGTTATTCCCCACAATTGTTTTTTTTCTTCTTCTTCTTCTTTTACTTTTATTCACAGTTATTTATTTTACCCATCTGTTGCTACTGTTTGATTTCCATGCGAATAACTGGCGTTCTGGCTAAATACATTTCATACGCACAAATAAAAACCAATTCGAGGCAACATTGAGAATAAATAAAGTCCGTTGGCAGAAAAACACAAGACAACACGCACATCGCATACCATATACACCAAATTTATGTTTGATGTATAGAAATAAATTTTCGCTCAGCAAAAGAACAATGTCACTGAAGTATGGAGAAAAAAGACAGGATGAAGAAGGAGAGAGTGAGAAATCGCGTGCTGCTATCTTCATCCATTGTATTTTTTTCTTCTTCGCCGTCGTCGCTGTAGTCGTTGTTGTTGTCTTGGCACAAGCGACATACAGTGCGCACAGTTTTTTTTTGTTCGGCCCAATTTGCGCGCTAACAGAGATTAAAGGATAATTGTTTAGATAAAAGATATGGAATAAAAACGACAAACAAACAACGCAAAAAGAACGAAAAGTCACCAAAGTGAAAGAAGACTGAAATACACAACGAAATCCTTAGCCAAGATGTGTCAATTCCGATGCTAAGCTCTCTCTCACTCACTCTCTCACTCTCACTCTTATTCACACACGCTACGCAACGCCACACGCTCACTCTGCCGCTGTTCGTAGTTTTGCCTCCTGCCGACATTTTCTTCGGCCGCTTCCACTCGCTAATAGATCATTTGTTTCAGTAAATAGATTCTCTTTTATTTTTATTAAAATTGATGGCATCGCATTATTTTTGATGTGCAAATGTACATAGAAACTGAACGGGTAAATCGGCAAGCTAACAATAATACACACGCAATGCAATACCGACACAGGGAAACGAGAGAGAGAGAGAAAAAGAGCATCGTGATATCCAACGTCTTTGTTAAAGTCATGTCGATTTGATTTCTTTTGCTATTATTTTCGCTCCAATTTCGCTCTGATCCGAATCTCGTATGCATGTTGTGATTTTTCACGTACTTTGAGTTTTCTTTCTTCTTTTTCTGCTCTCTGTGTCTCTGGCCTTTTCTACCACTGTGTTCGCGTATTGCATGACGACGACGTGGGCAAAAGGATGAACTTCGATTTTCACTTCGATGTTAATGAATTTGGATGAAATGTGAATAGAACTGACATTATCATCAATAACCAAATGTTTGTATTGATTATAACGAACACGTACTCCTCATAACCCCCTCTCCCCGCCTCCAAAGCTGTCTCTTGCATCAACATTGCAAATAGACTGCAAACTGCTTTTATTTATTATTTCGGCATTATCATATCTTTCTCTCTCTCTCTCTCTCTCTTTAACGAATATTTGGCGTGAAAGAATGTCGGTTCGAATGAAAAAATAAATACACTTCGTCAAAATGTCAAGATGAATTCGCCATTACATTTATCTTTTGATTCAATCGGCTATACTATATTTCGGAATATGGGGAAAGAAAGCAGATTCGTTTTGGTGTTTCTATTGAAATAAATATCGATGAGCTGCGTGCTTCGAGGGGAGCTTTGACGAGAGAAGGAAAAACATAAAACATTTCTTTATAAGAAGTGAACCAATTAATAAGAGGAAGAGGTTAGCTGAAAACTCAAAGAATTTAATCAAATATCCGACGTTTTTTCCTTTCTCTCTCTCTCCCTTTCTCTCTGTCTCGCTCGTTCTAGTGTTTTCGACAAAAGAATATTTTGGGGAAACGTAAATGGGATAAAAACCAAAGTTAGATATCGACTACTATTGATGTATGTGGCCCTTATCCTTGGTTGTACGGTGCGGTACAGTGCTGCGCACTGCAAACCAATAAGCGAATAATAACGATACGCAGCGAGTGTTTTTTTTTCTTCTCTTCACAAAAACGAAACCCTTAAAAACCTACTTTATGTTGAATTCAATTCCATTAATTTGGAATCCAAGCATTTTTGCTTGAGAGAAAGAGAAAGAAGGAGAGAAGGAAAGAGAGAGACAAGAAAATCACAACGGCCGAAGGAATAAAAAAAAATTAAGGCAATACAAAACTCAATTGTCATCTTTGTCATTTGAAGGGAAAAAGAATTTTGTTCTCTGTTTTCGTATTTCTGCGTCTACCTTTTTGTCTCCCTTTGAATTTTATACCCTCCTTATCATTTTAGTATTTCCGCACACATATTTGGATATGTCGTTCCCAATAATGATTGAGAAGTGTGCTCTCTTTGTGTGTGTCAGGGCATATTTCGACCGAATATTGGATCCAGAGAATGGGACACTTGACAGTGATGGCCATGGCCAAAAATGATTGAATATTTTAATAAACTCTCGAATGCGTGCGTTTAATAGCTGCGATGCCTTATGATAATTGGCAAGCACATTGATGACGCTTTTGAATTATTCGACCGCATTCGACAAGTATTCAAGTGGAAATTATTCCCGATTTTTTTGTACCCTCAAAGGCGCTAATACCACTCGTATCGTATACAAATGATCCATCAATTTCGTGGAAATTTTCTCATGGTATATATTACATTGAAATAGTTTCAATGCCTTTGGTCTTTGAATTCAAAAGATTCGGAGCGGACATTGTATGGTGTAGCCCTGGCCCGTAACAATTTCAGTACAGTAGATGTGACGAATGCCAGAAACCAACTGAATAAAATGGAAACAGCCCGAACAACATAAAAGCAGGGGAAAAAAGTAAAAAGAGAATCTTTGACATAATCGGATATTATGATGAAGAAATCAAAGCAAAAGTTTCTACGCTCGGTACCTCTCTCGCTCTCTCTCATGTATTGGGATCTACCGTGGTGTTTTGCCGCTTTTTTACTCCCACCCACACTTATATACACATATAAATTCGATGTCGGGATCTGTGTAAATGTGTGTATTATCACCGCTGTATGCCGTATACACACATTTTTTACATGAAATATCAATATGTAAATGAAAAGGGAATAAAAGCGAACGCAGGACGATTGAAATGGTAACGGCAAACCAATGGCAATGACATCAACCGAGAGAGAGAGAGAGAGAGAGAGAGAGAGAGAGAGAGAGAGAGAGAG